AGAAAAAACCGAGAAAAATGGCCTAGAACCCGAGAAATGGGACCCCTTCCTTGCCCGTTGATTTGCGCATTGATGCGACTCTCATCGGTGCTGCCCTCTTCAACGCTAACGCTCTCTGCTGAACGGCTAGACTCAGACGCGAGAGACACGAGAAGGGGAGAGGGCGCACCGGGTCCAATAGCGCGCCTCTTGGACTTTGGGGAAAGCAGTGCTATATCGCCGGGGGCATTTCTTTCGTGACGGTCCGCGCCCTTAGGAGGTCCGCCTATCTCTCCGCTAGGCAAGTTTCCCCTTCTTCGACCGTCCTTATCGTGGAATCCTCCTTCAATTGCCGTGTTTTCTCTACCAGGGTTGGTTCTGCCGCTCACATCTTTTGTTGGTGGACGGCAGAAACAGCCTAGCAGTCGTCTGCTAACTATTAGATACCGCATGGACACCATGTGCTAGTAAAGGAGGCTTCCGCGGTAAGGTCGGAAATCGAAGATGAGAAACGGTATACCACGTCGAAAGTTAAGCGGACCCCCTACGGGACGATGCGCGTTTCGCGGGTACTGCGATACACCTACCCTCTCGCCGTCCGACTCTAGCCGTTCAGCAGAGAGAGCGTTAGCGTTGAAGAGGGCAGCACCGATGAGAGTCGCATCAATGCGGAAATCAACGGGCAAGAAGGGGTCCCATTTCTCGGGTTCTGGGCCGTTTCTCATGGTTTCTTCTTCATCCCTGCATCACTGACCACCTCTACTTCATTTCTAATGGGCTGCCTTTTCATCGTAAACTCCGTCTTTGTGGCACCTACAAAGCGCTGAAGTGAGGAAGAAGTCATTATAGCCACAAACAATCACCAAGTTTATCAGCTATAGGGGGGTTTGTGGTAGCTAAATGATGACGCTACATCTCGCCAAGGAACAGCGCATCAATGCATTTGCCTTGAAAATGAGGTTCGAACTCACAAAATGGTGCAGGAAACTTACTTTGTACATGCCTTCTCACAATCCCTTACGCAGTTCCCACTTGTTGAACATTGCCCTTCAGGACAGGTGATGTCATCGCAGTGAGCCTCTTCCTCGCAGTACTGACCACCGTAGCCAGCTGCGCATTCACATCTGAAATACCCGAGTTTTATGAGCTGCCATAAATCGTCGATAGTGGTCTCTAATTCTGACCTGGTCCTAGACGCTCCATTTGGAATACTCCAAATAGAATCCAATCCGTAGAAGGAGGTGCTGGCGTTCTGCCGGCGATTTGCTCATAACAACTGCCACCATTAGCGCAGACATGGTCATCACAAAGGGACGTTCTCATTGACTGCAGGAGTGCATGTGGAAAGTCTCCCTTTTGGAAGAAACTGCGCAAGATGTCATGCGAATCGTCGGCAGCGATCACTCGACGATTCCGGTCGACAACAGCAAGCGACAGAGTGTTACGGTTTTCCGCAGCGATGACGTCGATTGCCAACGGGGTTAGAAAGCCTGAAAATAAAGGTGGAATTGTTAAACACACTTGCAGACTCCGCCCACAGCCGCAATCTCCGCCCACAGCTTACCAAGTCTGTATATGACCGTTGAAGATCGCTAAGGAAATCCGGCTACTCCTGCTGGTGCTGCGGTAGAAGACTACCTGCAGTGATGACTGCTCTAGTTCACGCGAAACTTGGAGTGTGTTTAGCCTGATATCGGTGATGGTACCATTGATCTGAGCCTCTACCACGATGAAATCGACAGATTCTTTCACAGCGATGTGACACTCTGCTGATACCTAAAAGCAAGAGTTTGAGCTTCGATGAGCTATTCGACCTGGCCTTGTAAAGGAACTGTTGCACGACTTACTGCGAAGAAGAATTGTGGCTCCTAGGCGCACATTCCGCGCCTCGAATCTGGAAGCCATGGCGCTGAGGCTCGTATTCTGCTGGGAACGGCTAGCACTAAGTTGCATTCAGGTGGCGAGAAATGACTGCCAGTCTTTTGTCAGACATCAACGAACACCTAAAAATCCATTATTATGACTTAGGTGTAAGGTTTCAGAGGGACTTCCCAAACTGTTCCGCCAGGCTAGAATTGGAATCGAAGCTCGTACATGCGAACCAAATTTCCCATCTTTCAAATATGGTTAACATCTTATCAGACTCGTTTGAGATTCAAAAACATCTGAAATGGCACGTGCGGTGGTTCGCAAGTGTAGTCCAAAGGCGTTCTCCGATGCGCTCCCGGAAATTTGTCCCATCTAATTGAGTTCTGGTTTGTACGGGGTATCATGAAGCGATATTCGGCATAGGACTGATAATGCTTGAAGGACGAATTCACGCTGGAAAGGCAACCCATTTCAAATTAACCTAGCGATGGTGAGTGGTACACGAAAGAAGGAAAAACCATGAGAAACGGCCCAGAACCCGAGAAATGGGACCCCTTCCTTGCCCGTTGATTTGAGCATTGATGCGACTCTCATCGCTGTGCCCTCTTCAACACTACGCTCTCTCACCTATCTAATCACTCGCCACGTATAGACCTGCGGCGAGTGATCAGATGATCGGTGGGCGTGCACTGGCCCACCGCGCCAAGATTGAGCCTTAATAGGTCGCCGAGGTCAACTCCTTCGGTGCCAATTGCGCTTCAGTCCGCACCCTTAGGAGGTCCGCGGGTCCCTCAACTAGGTGAACTTCTTCGACCTTCATTCTAATCGTGAATTCGTCCTCAATGAAAAAGAATAGCCATGGTAGTCGGTGATCACCAGAAACACGTTGCGTGATGGGGGGGGCGTCCATTTTCTGATGTGTAATCACAGGAACATCATAGATACTTCGGATTGTCCGGTTCAGTGGTCGAAGAGACATCAGTATTCCCTCAGGGGTGATAGTGAATACCTTAAGATGAAATCCTTTTACGAACTCACGAGACTCTCCATGTGTGTTACTATTTTGGAAGAAAAACGATGTGGTTCCCTAATGGGAGATTTTCCACGCAATGCGGAAATCGAAGCAATGGTATTTGACAGGAGAACCGTCGTGCGACGTGGAGAAAGAAACGCGTTCGGGTCAGAGGACGAGTGCTATGTGTGTGTGAATTTACTGGGTGTCCCCCAAGAGGCCCATCGCGCGGCGAAGGAAGAGACGCAGACGCGGCAAAGGACGAGTCGCAGCGCATACTGTAGCGGTTAGGCGTCAGAGTGTACCATACTACGTCTCATATCGCACAGCACGCGCTGCAACTCGTCCTTTGCCGCATCTGCGTCTCTTCCTTCGCCGCGCGATGGGCCTCTTGGGGGACACCGATGTACTGTGCTACATTCTATTCAAAAAGACGCGACATCACTACATTGCGCGCAGCGACGCGTCGGCTGACCCTTCTTGCGTCTCTTCCTTCGCGCCACCGCGCTTGACGGCTCCTGTCGGAGAGTCGAAAGCAATGCGGTCTGCGTCTTTGCAGATTTCGGCAGCCAGCTAACTTTTGTCAGCTGAGTTTGAATTTCAGAAATGAAAAATAAAAATTAAGTCAAAATTGGATAAAAAAAATAAACATTTCGCTTATGCAACCCAGACCGAAAATCAGAACACCTGAAATGAGAAGTGGGAAACGAACGGCGAGCACATGGTTCAGAACACTGCACCATCCATTACTGATGATGATAATGGCAGTTATGCTTGTTTCAGAATAAATGATATTATTTATATTTGATCAATTTTTTTACAAACGGTATTAGTTATCATTTTATAAGACACATAAAAAAATTAGCGATGAATAATGTATCATTCATCTTGCAGTTAAAGTTGAAATATGGAGTTAGAGGGGCCATTTCATTCTGCTTTGAGCTCATTCAAGGTTACACACATATGATAAGAACCAGAGAAATGCCCCGCATCATCGACAACCAATCAATTTTATTTTTTTGACGTAGTTTCAGTGTCCCCACAGTGAAACTGCTCCCGCGACTACGCTACCTCCTCCTGCCTTACTAAATACCCGCTTGGCTCTAAAATCTGTCATTATTATCCTTTGGGTGGTTTTCACTTGGTTGAATTGTGCTGCTTACCTCTCTAAGACGTCGATCACCTATACGATAAGTGAACTTTTGACCATGAGCACTGGACAGTTGAGCGATCGCAACCGCCGTCACATTTTCCGTCAAAAATCCAACGATCGGGTGATCCACTTGTGCTGTTGGAACTACCGTAATCTCTATTTCAGTGCGAGATCTCGTTTTGTTGCCGCAAAGTACCTAAAAAGTTTCGTTCTAGTATAAACCAAGGATTTTTTCCCAATATAAAATACCGAAACACAAACCTCGGCCATCAACACGTAGTTTGTTGCTTTTGAGATGCCCGCAAACAGTCAGCTCACTTCCGTTAGCAAAACAGAATGCCTGAAGAAAAATTTCTCAAAATTAGCCATAAAATATTTCAAATTGAGTTGAGGAACGTCTCTAACCTTTCCTTGATCACCATCGACAATAGCCAGAAGACAATCGGCCGGCAGAGCCAACGAAAAGTCGTGGATGGTGGTATTAATAGGTTTTGTGTCGGAAATACTGAGAGCATAGGTGGCGTTCGGAAATAATGGCGGTGGAGCGATCCTTGATGAAGCCAGTTGTAATTTTGAGCTAAAATTATACCTTTCAAAAATTTTAGGTCTTCAGTTATGGGAGAGAATTAATGCAACACGCGCTCGCGGACTGCGTCGCGGCTATTCGGCTGACTTATTAAGGGAATGAGCCCACTCTACTTTCAGATTTTCTGATGATATTATTTGAACTACTTGGAATACGTTTTAAAAATGGGCGTTAACTTTTTCAAGCATTAGCATGGCACACACTGATCAAACATGCCGTCACCGCAACGCGACCGCACGCGGATATGCCTGCTGACCCCATCCTACTCACACAACGGAACGATACTGGATTAAATTCACGGTTGTCCAAAGGACGGTTCCTATCGAGATCAAACATTCTTTAATGCAATACCTGACGAGGGGGTCGTATTCCGCAAATAGACTACCTTTCTTGGAACGATGGGAAGGTAAATTTTTGGGTAGTGGGGTAATTTTTACATTTCAAGAGATTATTTTTTCAAGATTTCCTAATTTTTTTGTGTTTCAACATCAAGAAATCACATAAGTACATTCACATAAGTAGCGCATATCGCGCTGGACCCGACGAGAGCACTGATTGACTCTTGTGACCCTCGGCGCTAACTACACAAGGCTGACGGTGAACGGCAAGGAAATCGAACCTAAAGACACACTAACCTTTTCAGTGTTCGTCCGAACTTCGATTTTGCGTATATTGTCATTTGATCGTCGCTAATTCCCCTGTCACCGATTACTTTGATGTCTTTCGCATCGGCAGAAAGTTGTTCGTTCTTCTCAGCAAAGATATCCGTCTCATATGATGACACAATAGTTCCGGGAACAGCTCCTTCGCTCAGGGTAACATTTTCATCTCGAATGTTCGGTTCTTTCGGTACCATGTCAACCAATCGAACTTTGACCGTTATCGATTGACTTTTGTCACTGGCGGTCCAATCGATAACAGGTGGGAAATCGCTGGGAACGGAAATGCAGTGATCGGTAGTGATCGTATTCGTATCCACTGAGACTGCGAACTGGAGATCGTGCGGGGAAGTGTCGATGTCTGTGACGCTTGGGCAAATCGTCTCGTCAATACTCGTCACCTAAATCGTTCTCTAGTAAAGATAGGTCTTTGACTGAGGTGATTATAAGAGGGAATATCATAGAGAGTGTCAGAAGGTCCTGACATAGCAAAAAGTAACCCACTGCGTAAATTAGCTCTGCATCCTCGAAAACAGGTGGATTGTCGTCTATGTCGAGAAGATCAATAACAACTTGAGTAGTGGCTGAAATAGGGGAATTGCTGTTTGATTTGATGTGCTAGTTGATTGGAGGTATCTGGTCAGGAGATCCCGATAGCAGCGCCGCGCGCGACGTGCACGCGACGTGTCGCGTCGCTGCCGCCTTATACATCATTTATTGTTCTTGTGCAAGTGTGCACAGCAAGGTTAATGAGGGTGAGGTGGACTGAAGGTAAATGGTCTACGCAAATCCATAAGAGATGAGGTGTGGGTCAGGATGTCTCAATAGTGGTGTCGCAGGTAGCCTCGCGCGCAACATTTGTACTATGAACCGAGCGAAGACAACCGCTGCAAGCATGGTAACGTGGGTTTGACGCCCCGCCGCAACCTCGATCTCCTGACCCCCCCCCTCCTCTTAGAGCTAGGGTGAACTGATTGGAGCTATCCTACAAACCAGAATTGTCTACCAGTGTTTGATGTTCCTGTTCTTGCCTATATTTTATCGACTCGCCATTGGTTTAAACAACAATATTACACTCTAACTTTTTGCAGGCGGCTTATCGCAAGATACGGGAGCACTCTCCTCAGCGCAATAAGTCTAGTGAAAGGGTAAGGGACTCGGGAGAGAATGAGTTTTGCTCACGCATCTAGGAGTCTCTTTCCCATGCAGAGCATGGTTTCATTCTAAGAAAGGAATGTTTTTACATGCCGTCTTGCGATTAGCGCCGGCTTCTTGATTTTTGTTGACCTTATGCAACATGGAAATTGACCAAAAATTTCGAAATGGCCTTGTGAAGGAGCGATCCCAAGTCACTATAAATAAGAGTGGCGGTGCAGAGGCGCGTGCTGCCGCTTTGCAGCTCTGTTTTGTTCCTTACTAGTGGGTAAGTCGTTTTCTTCGTCTGGCTTTCGTCGATAGAAAGAGAGAAAGACGTTTATCAATGTGTGGTTGTGCTTCTGCAGAGGTTTGTAGGGAGGGAACTTTCATTTCGACCAACGTTTCAACCTTCACGTCGTTTTCAAGGACCTCAAGTTCCTACCAACGTCGTCGCAGGAGCGCAAGCGCACAATAACAACGAACCATGTCGAAGTTTGAGGGGTACATGACAGGAGGCCCTCCGCGCGGGGAGAACTAGAGGCGCAGCCAAGTCAGTGGACGAGTCGCAGCGTACTGTAACATTACCTTCAAATTAAATGAAGTATACTGCACGGTGAACTCGTCCGCTGACCCGCCTGCGTCTCTTCCTTCGCGCCGAGCGACGGGTCTCCTGTCGGGTACCCGGTTTCGAGAGAGATAGAGAGCTGTAAATCAAAGGGGGGGGGGGGGGGGGGGGGGAGGAAGGGGGGGGGGGGGAAAAGGGAAGGGGGGGGGGGGGGGGGGGGGGGAAAAAGGAAAAAAAAAAAAAAGAAAGGGGGGGAAAAAAAGGGGGGAAAAAAAAAAAAAAAGGGGGGGGGGAGAGGGAGGGGGGAGGGGGGAAAGGGGGGGGGGGGAAGGGGAGGAGGGGGGGGAAGAAAAAGGGGGGGGGGGGGGGAAAGAAAGGGTATCATGCCTACCGTTTCGTGGTGGTTGTCCTCGGTCCACAGCGGTCACATTGAAGACGTACCGTCGCTGAGCTTCATAGTCTAGGCGATCAGAGACTACGAGAGTTCCATTTGGAAGTAGATGAAATGGTGAATCAGATTCGGGTTCGATATGATAGTGTATTTTCCCCGCGAGACCCATATCCGTGTCCTTCGCATAAATCACGCCCACCACGTCACCGTGTTCAGCATCTTCCGCGACGGCAAAGCGAAAGCTGAAGATGTTTGCATGATTATCGAGTCAAATGGATTAACTAGTAAACCTACATTTTCTCTTCAAAATGTGGTGGACCGGCGTTGCCTTGGCTAAGTTCCAATCGCACTTGGTGAGCGATTGCCTCACCGTTCTCCAGCTCAGATATGAGCACCACTTCAGCGTCCTTGCGAATATCTCCTGTTATTATGACATCTCCTTCCGGGTTTACCATCATGAGCGATTCATCCGCGAGAAATCTTCGTATCACCTGGAAATTAATTCCAAGTCAGTCATAGAGTAGTCCAATAGGGGTAGCCAAGCCGTGATGGAAGCAATGCGACACGTGCGGTTGCGACGCGGCTGGCTCGTCAAAGAATCGGCCCTCTATCTTTCGTGAGCGATAATTTGCGCTAACTGGGACACTTTGCTATCGCTTCACGACATCTTCGGTCTTTGTCCTGCTTTTGACAGTCGTCCTATAGTTCCGCTTTTAGCGCCGCTTCGCAACCGCACGCGTCTCTAATACGTTATATCTTCCTAACTGATGTTTTTGGAGCGAGATTTGATTTTTCAGGCTTTACTAGTGGGATTTGTTGAGTAACTACACCTTTTTCACTGTGTTGTGGCTGCAGATACTTATCGATCTTTCCAAGCGTCGCTCCTATTGGGAGTGTCTTTATTGACGGCTATTTCGCAGGTACCATGGCCCCCAGAAGCTAACACCACAACCATCGGTACTGACGATAACATGGCTGGCACACCATTGTCTTGAGCGATTACGGTTACCTAAAATCATGTATGGCCCCTATTTTCAGTAATCCTATGGTTAGCCCAGTTGAAAGATGCACTGCTTATCATATACACGATCGACGGTTCAGGCCGAAGGACCAGCTACCGACCGCGACAGCCAGGCCCGATCGCCCGCAAGAGGCAGAGTCCGGCGACGAGTCGCAACGCGTGATGCCGCGATTTCACGTCAGGGTTGGAAAGTAGAACCATTGTACGTCCCACATCTCACAGCAGCGCTGCAACTCGTCCGCTGACCCTCTGCGTCTCTGCCTTTTTCCCGCGCTACGGGCCTCCTCCCGAAACGCAGAAAGCCGAAAACTTTCATTTTCGTTGATAATTTTTGTACGTATAGTCTTGGAGAACTATCGTTTGCCGACGGTTAGCCTCTCGGTTGGTTTTAAAAACTGTTCTGTTTTCAGTCTAAGAACAAATGCATCTCACACATACTAAAAAGGTACCGTAATAGCTTTGTACCTACCGTAATAATTCCTTTCTCTGGCAATGCAAGCAGCTTCATTTCACCAGAAACGGTATCGATTGAGATATACCGTACATCACGCTGGAGACGGTAATGCACCACACCATTCTCGCCTTCATCTGCATCTTCTGGCCACCACTTCTGCCAATGGTCCCTTGTTTACCTACTGAAACATGAGATACAGTTTGAAATAGGTGGTGGGGAGGGCAATCTACTCTGAAAAGCGACGCGAACGCCGAGTTAAGCTATTAACCACGCGATTCCGCGTTTTGTGGTCTGCGCACTCAAGTCCCATTTCCTATTCCATTATCATACATAGTCAGCATGCCAGTGTACTGCTGTTCAACGCAACTTTCTTCTGTCACTCAGCCCATTGAATGTTAAAACTACAGCATCTTTGGCAAGAGAACTGCGGCTTTTTGCTGGTCTCGCGCGAAATATGAGGTTACTGGTAGCCTTCAATCTTGATTACAATCGAGTATCGAGCTCGGGAACATCTGATCGGGAAGTCTGGGTGTCGCGCTAACACAAACATACCTGTGTTTCGTTTACGACGAACACATATCGCTGTTTTTCGAACAAGGGTGCATTATCATTTACGTCAAGTACGCTGATGGCAGCACCAGTTTGTACTGCCCAGGTACCATCGCTCACTCGTACTCGAAGTCTGTAGGACGGCATCTGAAATGGTACGGTCAAAAATGCTCAGAACTGAGAAAATTCGATAGCGTGGACGTACCTTTTCTCGGTCCAGCGACTGTCGAAGGTAGATTTGTCCAGTTTGCGAGTCGATAGAAAACGGAGTGCTTGTCTCGTTATCGATCGAAAAGGTATGGTTGCCAAAACCGTCAGGATCCGAATAGCGATATTATCAGGCAGGCGAGCCACATTAGAAAATCACAGTTAGAAAGGGTAATTTGTGCAATAAGCTCGAGTTCAATTTTATAATAACCAGTGTCGGCTTATGTGGAATCGACTCTGAAAACAGCTTGTGAGTCCGTGGCCTCCAATAAGCCTTTTCTGGGGAAGCAGGTTTGCGATGCGCGCGGTCGTGACGCGTTTTAGCCGAACTGCTACGCTACCGCACGCGCCGCAGGTAGCTGCGCACTAGAGGGGGAAGTGCCGAGATCTTTCGCGCTGTCAGTGTCAGCTGTCTCTTTATGATTAAAAGTAGCTTGCTCGAAGAAACTTAGCCTCCTTATCCCGAGGAATCTCAGCATGAAAAAGATGCGAAAACTTTGGCGCATTGTCGTCCTCATCGAGCACTTTCACCTGAAAAAAACCATATGGACCTGTGCATGGCTTAATCCACTCACATCAAGGGAGCTATAGTGTTGCTACTATGACAGGCTATAGTTGCAACGCAATTCCAACCTTAACGATGGCTTCCGTAGCCTAGTGGTGTATCTCCGCGATCCGTTGCAGATATAACCAATCGATAATCGGAATCGATTCTCTGTCCTAGGATCCGTGTAGAACGTATACACCCTGTTTTCTGATCGATCATGAAAGAGTTCAGTGAGTTCCCTGAAATTTAGACCTGCGTGAAAGGCTTGAACCTATATGTAGATTCTCCTACAGGTGTATGTGAATACAGTCCTCAGAATCGAGTCTGAATCATGCCCCAAGCTAGAGACGCTGTCACCGGACGTCTGCTTTCTCTAGCTTGGGCAGCGCTCATTTAAGGCAAGTGGTTACAGATCTTGCCTTAAAGACACATTCCACCCATGATACTTGAGTTTGTCCGCTAATTTAATGAACTTTTTTTTCCCTATCTTTATTGAAATCGGTACCAATTATTACAGCCACTTTCACTTTTTTTTTGTTTTGGCGCGTTAAAAACGACCCACATCTCTCCGCTAGTGGTGTGTGTCTTTAAATATTAGTGTGAGTTTTATTTACAATCTCACCTCTAATGATCGAATAGTGAATATCGGCATTTTGGCCCTGATCTCGATCCGTTGCAGTGGTGCACAAATGTTGCTGAGGATCCGAGTTCTCCATAATTTCGATTGAGTAGATCACCTGTATTTCAATTTTTATCCCTTATGTATCACTGCGAGCTTTTCGCAGGAACATTGAGCGCTAACGCAAAATATGGGGCATCCTCTATAAGTAAGCATGGAGGATGACCACGTATCTTGCGATAGCGTCAAGCATTGCAATGTAGGCTACGCCATCGTTCTGTGGATGTGACTGGTGTGAAGCAATGGCCGGTGTCAGACTTTGCGAATCGAGCGATTTGCTACTGGCTATTCGCCAAGTCTGACACCGCCTGTTGCCGCGTGCCGACACACTTGTCATTTTTCGACATTGTGAGAAGTGGACCGAATGTTATGACTGTGAAAATCATACCTTCTCAAATATTGGTCTGTTATCGTTCACATCCTCTACGACAATATCGATTGATGTGATCGATAATTTTGGCGGACTATCCGAGTCCGTGACGGCGAGCCATATTCGATAGTATGGACGAATTTCACGATCCAGGCCACGGCTAAAAGGCGATTTTGAAAGGTCTACGGAGTACTTGAACTTTCTTCAATGATCCTGCCGCGAATGGCTAGAGCACATATGAGTAGAGAACAGCGCCTAGCTCGGCTTCAAATTCCAAAGAGAAAAGGAGCGCTAAGAGCAAGCCCTGGAGGGGGTAGGGACTCCGGGGTGAGTGTTGAGTGCCAATTACACTGTGGCAAAAATTTGAATGTATGAGATCACAGAGTCGTGATCTGAGTAGGCGAGAGGCGTAGGGGCATCAAGTAAAGGGCGGGTAAAGGACTCATCCCAAGTAACCCATGGACGCGGAGCCGCCACCCCGTTGCCGGAGAGGGAACCTGCCGCGCGGCGAGAAGACAGAGACAGACCGACCAAATAGGATGCCCTTCAGTCTGTCCTACCAAGCATAGAGCGCTGCGACTCGTCCGCTGACCCCGCTCACCGCGCGACAGGCCTCCTGCCGAGTACTCGTCTAAACCCTCCCTCACGGTGGGCGAGGCATGCACGCTGCTTGCCGACGGCCAAACTTCGAATTCGTTCCGAAGCAGCTCAACCGAGAAAATGGTTAAGGTTTGGTAGATCGTTCCATCTTCGATAGGATCTTAACCCGCTTTCTCTCTCTCCGAGCATGCTAATTCAGTACTCTACTGGAATTCTAAACGAAATGGACTGCGTCAGTGGAAAGAGTAAAATCTTTTGTGGAAGGTGAAACGAGTAAAGCATAAGAAAATGAGAACATACTTGATCGATAGTCTTCCCGAGAGTGGATCGATTTCGAAGGAGCCATCATTACCACTCAGTATCGAGTAGGTCAGGGATGAGTCAACTCGCGACGATGTTGCCGCGAATTGAAAAACGTCCTCAGACGTATCCTCACGCAACGATGTCTTGTTCATCGTTGATATCCATCTGAATTGAGTGCGGTGACATTAAGGTTTCTCTACCCTGCAGTTACCCGAATAATTTACTCGCCACAAAATTACCTCGGAAAATTGTTACGATCGTCCTAGGTAGAAGGTGAAACTTGCGCTCGTGTTTCAGTCCATCCTTATCAAAAACTCCTATAGTTATCGAGTAGTAGGCTTTCATTTCTAGCACGGTCTAAAAATGATTGACATATTTATCTGGAGGAGATACCAGTTAACAAATAAAACAAGAATCTCTGAAAATCTCTCAGTTATGCGAGAATGCGATGCGCTACTTTGGGAGATATTGATCGCATGAATCACCGTAGCGCGACCGCCCGCGCCTTGAACTGCTGGTTTCCGGCTTGAGCTCTCGGGCAACTTGGTCTTTTTCTGATACGGTTAAAACTTACGGGTGCCTGACAGGAGACCCATCACGTGGTGAAAGGGTCAGCGGACGATTCGTAGCGCGTACTGTTCTGATTTCGCGTCAACTTAAAAAGAATGTACTACAGCTTGTCCCATATCATATCTCAGAGCACGCGCTGCAACCCGTCCGCTGACTCGTATGCGTCTCTGCCTTCTCGCTGCGCGACGGACCTCCTCCTGTTGGCACCCAGTCGGGACATACCACCGGTTGGGCTTGGGTATTTCCTTCGATATGGCCAAGTATTTCGAAGCGCTCTGACTCATTTGTGGACATGCCGGCTTCGAGGCCGAAAAGTGCAGCCAGTCTAGGCTTAAGGTCTTCGAAGGAGACTAAATTAACGGCTCTAGGATAGACACATGGATTTGGTGATACTTACCTTGGCAATGATTTCTCCTCGAGTATTGATGGCAAAGAACCGAGCGTCCGGTCCAGAAATGTTGTACGATAGAGTCGCGTTCTCGTCCAAGTCAATGGCGTCTACCACATGGACAACGTCACCTAGAAGATAATTGTAGTTAGGAAAAATAGAGGGCCATATGAAGTTAACAAAGAGAGCCGCTGTTCAGCTGCGTCCGGATCTGGTGGGCTATATCGGCTTGTTTCACGAGCAGATTTCCTGACGGACTTGCAGCGATTTTCTGCAGTCGACTGTCGAGCGATGAATTTTCAGAATTTTTTTGGAATAGTACACCGCTTTTGGGAAGGGTGTAAAAAGCAACTGTGCTTACTGAACTCTGTTAAGTTCTTTACGGTAACGACAGACCAAGCCCTTAAAGGCACAGTCCGCGATCAAAAAATATGCTTAGTGCGCCTAAAAATGAAAACGCGAGTAAGTGCGAAGAAGACCAGAAGTAGAGAAGTCGAATGCAAGGAAATACCGAAACGAGGTAAGCGCCCCATTTATGGGTTAGGTGCAGTTACCACGAAGAAACGCTGGGTATCAGGGAGAGAGTACAAACGATAGAGAGCAGCTTTCCAGTGCGTGGACTGTTTCGATCAGAATAGCAGCTGTAACCGGTTTCAACCCAGATATCAGAGCTGTACCTCCATAGTCACGAATTTCGAGCCGTACATCACATCTTGCACTTTACTTACACCTCTGTCCAACCCGCGGAAGCACCCGACTCCTCTGACTTGAAGGCACAACCCAGGCAGAAGTCGTAAACTATTTCCTTAGGTCTGTAGGATAGAACCCAGAGGACAATCACAGATGTGGCATTCCGTGCACGGAAATCACCGACAAGAGCGCTGGGCCTTGCAAAGTAAGCTGCTGCAGCTGCAATTTTTTTTATCAGGCTGTCTGGCGCCCTCTCATCTGTTGCGCTCTCTCGCCTCATACTCTCCTCTCCGCGCTTAGTCTCTCATTGCCTTAGCACAGCCGATTACGAAGGTGAGTGAGCCCTTAACCTAAGCGTTTTCGACGGATTCTTTTCCTTTTTTCTTTACTGCCGGCCCATTTCGCACCAATACATTCGCATTCGTGTGCAAGAACCACACCAATTTGATCCTGGGGCATGCCTTTAATTGTGGAAGGTGCCTCTAATTGAAGTGAATAACAAACCACTTCTCAAATCCTTCGGGACAAAGACGTCGAGCAACTTATTCCTGATAATTGGACTGTTGTCATTCTCATCGTCAACAAATACGGTCAGCTGTGCAGTTGATGTGAGTCGTCGATACCTGAACAGGCGCTGTCTTAAGAGACGTCCATAGAATGAAATTCACCAGCATTATGGCGAAGATGCAGCCTCGAAAAGTGAAAATTTTCACTTTTGGAAATACCGTCGCGCGTACCTTCCTGAATCAGTCGCTTGAATTGTCAGTTTGTATTCGTTGATCAGCTCGCGGTCCACTGTATCAGCGACTCGGATCTCTCCAGTGGCTTTATCGATCGAAAATGGACTTTGTTCCAGTATCGAGTACCTAAAACAGAATTATAAGCATAGATGCCATATTCAGTATCACCAAGAGACACAAGCCAACCTCACTACCGCATTTTTGGCCTGGGTTCTGTCGACGGCTGTGACTTTGAGAACTTTCTGGCCACGTTTGGTGTTCTCTCGCACATGAATGGTGTAGTATGGTTGATCGAATTCCGGCGCGTTGTCATTGTCATCAAGTACCGTAATCTTGATTAAGGCACAATAAAAATGCTGTTAGTCACGCTGTTACATAAGGGGCACTGATGGGGTGGTGAAAGTGGCGTCCTGATCGAATCCCTTCAACCGGACCATGCCCTTCATTCCCCTCAAGTCAGATCGCTGGTGCCATACACGCTTGTGTTCGGAACGGTGACATTATTATGAAGAAATAATTGACTGTAAAAGTGAAGACGGGTAGCGGTTAGATAGGTGTGACAAGGGGGTGGAACAAAGCTTGAGAAGCCTTCAAAATTGCCAGATCACGTTCCACTCTTCCCAGCCTACCCTTCTCGCCTGACCACTCACCCACCATGCCATGTTCTCTTATACTCCATGGCGGTGTGTTTGCAGTTTACCACGGGTCCAGAAGTGGAAGATTAATAGATAGCAGTGCTTACCTTGATCTCAGCTGTGGAATGAAGTCGAGTTGACCCAGAATCGATAGCTTGTACGGGTGAGAAAATGTTCCTCACAATCTTCACGATCAAGTGGACCAAGACATAAGAAGTTCTCTGAAATATCTGCAATCACGAGGAGCAAATAGCGAAGAAAAAAACCTTCAAATTTCTGATATTCGCAGTTCTTCCACATGGTTAGCTCGGAGATGGTGCAGTGGGGGGTGGCCTCACTTTTCATACTCCAATTCCCATGTCGAGTCATGGGAAGAAACTCTCAAAACTTAACCAAGCCTTACAATCCTTTTTAGTCTATTAATAGGTGTCCACGGAAAAAAGCTCCGGAATAACGCTATGTTCCATGTTCTGGGAGATAAAAACGATGTCTTCTGTATTGGCTGGTCTGCACGGGATCTCAAAGGAGAAATAAAATAGGGATTGTTATGGAAGGCATGCGCATCCGCATAAGTCGGTTGTATAGACCAATCGTATGTTATCGGATTTGGACCAAGTCTTCTGGTTGGAGGTGTGATTTTGGCTGTAGGGAGAAGAGTGTAAAGCTTGCCATGCGCACTGTGCAGGGGAGCAATCCTGGATGAACCTCATTCAGACAACTAGTCGGTCCATATCTCTGGCGTTGACGCTCTGGGACAGACTCATCCGGCAGGACTTAACCCTGAGCTGTATATTGGCTGGCCTCGCTGGTCATTTTATAGGTTGAATCGCTTTCGAAATGCCACTACGATTCGGGGTGAAAGTGGAGTGCGTGGCGCACCCCAGAAGGGAATGATCAGTATTGAATACGCCATACTTGATGTTTTTCAACTATTCTGATTACTTCTTGGTGCGAGTGAGACTATAAACGTAAATTTTCCGGAAAAAAAGTTGGAAATGCTCACCAGATGCTGAATTGATCGAGAACAGTGTAGCGTTTCCTTTGAAGACACTGTAGGCTATTAGACCATTCTCGCCACTGTCTAGGTCCTGAAAAATAGGCGTTTTTGAATCATCCTCCTTTTTAGGTGGTGGTGTAGAACTGGCGAGAGGTAATCGTGAAAAGTCTTTGTCTCTCATGGAAGCTTCTCCGAAGTGTTGTAGATTATCGAGGTAAGCAAACCAGCCCTTTTGGCGTTTCTGCTGGGGCCGTATGCTGAATGTTGGGGAGGGGATGGGGTCCCCGAGGTCGACGGACTACTTCAACTCGGTCGGTACGGTAGGAGAGTGATGACGCAAGTGGTGCAGCTGGTCCAGCAGCTCCGCCAAAAGGGCTGGTTTGCTCACCCCAGGACTAAGCCTTGGAGAGGGGACGGACCCGTCCTCTCTTTAAGGCTTAGTTCCTGAGGTAAGCATCAAATTGAGGCGGTTTAAGGACCGAGTTGAAGTAGTCCGTCACCGTCGGGGACCCCATCCCCTCCCCAACATTCAGCATACGGCCCCAGCAGAAACGCCAAAAGGGCTGGTTTGCTTACCTCTAGATTACCCATTGAAATGCTTTGATGGGGAATCTCAAAGTAACTTGGTGGCTAGTTCAGGACATCTAACAGCTCACGTGTTTCCCATGTCCACCTTTTTTATGGATATATCTTCGATTCAACTTCTGGTGCTTTTCTCACCTCAGAGATTGTGCTGCCGATCACTGCTGGATAAGGTCCTGGCAAGTTTTCGAAGACTGAGAATTGCACCGGAGTTCCACCAACAAATCGCGGACGTTCATCGTTGCTATCCTTCACTTGGACAATCACAGATCTGAAGGAAAGAGATGATAGTGAAATCATAGTCACGGTTCTGCAAGAGTTGAGTGTCCTCACTTGAGCAGTGAGGAGCTCCCTCCTTATTGGGTAAATCCTGATATGAACTTCAACTTACTTGAAACTCTTCTCTCCTCCAGCAATATTCACTGCGGTAACGGTGAGATTGTAAAGTGATCGGGATTCGAAATCCAGCGGTGAGCTCACGTAAAGTTCTCCGCTTGTTGGGGTGATGTCGAACACACCGTAACCTTCTTCGATTCCGAATACACTTGCTGCATTCTCTATCTGAAAGCAATTAAGATTGCTCTCATTCGCACAGTACAGTTTCGACTCGTAATAACTT